ATATGCTGGCTGAGTGATGTTCAGAAGTTACTTACATTTTCCCAGTTCCCTCTATAAAATGTGTTGTGAAGAGTTAATATACATGGGAAATACTTAGTACCATGCCTACCATATAGTAAGTGCTATATACTGTTAGCCAGTATTTTAGTAGCATTGTTACTATTATTAATGAACCTGTTTTAAATGGACTTCTCAATGCAAGACCTGCAGAGTATTCTGTATACAGAATAGTGACTATTCTATGCAGTTCTTTAGTCTCAAGCAAAATTATCAGGAGTTGTTTGTACATGATTAATGTTGAGGTTTACTAGGTAAAAGGGGGGAAAAAAAGCATTCCATTAAAGCTGTTATAACCCCACTTCCTTCTCCTTTTGCTCCCAGAAATAAAATTTGTGCATTGTTATGTCTTATTTCCAATTTTCATCATGCTATGTGCTTATTAAAAATTTCTCCACAATCTGGACAACAAATTTCATACAATCAAGTAATGAACAATAAATATTTGGTAATTATTAAATTCCAGAGACTAGAGACATAAACTAGGGTGGAGTCTGACCATTGTGAAATAAATTTTCTGGAGGATAAATAAGCAAATCAACACATAATTCAGAACAATAGATATCACAACAGTTGAAGTGCATACAACATGCTACTGAGCTGAGAAGAATGATAACGAAGTTTATCTTAGAAGGATCAGAGTGATTCACCAGAAAAGGGGTTCCAACCTTTGGGGATTCCAAGTAAAAATTTAGAAGTTTTCTCTCATGCTAGGACTTCTCTGATTGGTCACTTATAACACTTCAGACATATCTCCTATTACTACAACATAACCCACCTCCCAACTCCTCTTGGACCAATCTCCTATTTCTTTAGAAAAGCTGATTGATTAATTGACTGATTGATTGAATTTAATGTATGTGCTACAGGGTCTCACTATGCAGCTCCCACTTGTAGTGATCCTTCTTCTTCAGCCTCCCCAGCGCTGGAATTATAGGCATGCGCCACCACACCCACACTTTGTGGTCAGCTCAGCACACCCAAGGGAGGGGCCAGCGCAGCATGTGGTACCAGGGATCAAACCCTAGTCCCTGTGCTTGCCAAAGCAAGCACTTAATCTGTTGAGTTATCTCATGGGCCTGAAAAGCTAATTTTGATTCCATCTCTAATTCCTCTTCTCAAGTGACAATCTCTACCAATCTCCTCTACTTGGGAAAACTGGACTCTTTTCTTCCTTGTAAAATGTCTCATCTCCATGAACACTTTTCCAACTGGATGCAGTCATACATCTTCCTAGCACACATACAAGCATTTTTAAATAGGTACATTCAGATAGACACTAACATTATTTTGTTATATTCTATATTATTTCAACAAAACCATTAAGTACCCTGAGAAACTATTTCATAAACATTTGTTCCACAACACCTGGTAAAGTGTCAGCCAAAAAGTAGTCAAGAACACTTTCTGAATCAATTTATTTTACCAATGCCTTCTCTGGTTTTATCTGATACACAATGAATTCACTTTATGAAATTTTAGAAGTTCAAATAACCAGAGGTGAGAACATTCTTGTTTCTGTCAGTTAATTTACTAACTAAAAATCAGCAGTGCTATCTGCGAAATAAACTAGCTTGGTAAAATTTGTGAATGTGAAGAAAACATGAACTATGGAATAAATTATTTGCTTATAAGAAGCCTGTGAATAAGGTTCTTGTACTTGGTTAGCAGTAAGAAAGCAGCATATTGTTCAGAGAAGGAATGTATTCAGAGTACAGGCTTATGCATATATGTGTGCACATATACACAGTACAAAAGCATGAATTAGATGATAAAAATGTAAACCGGGAGAAAAATCTTACGCTGCTAACAATCACATTCTCAAATTCAGCACTTCTTCCTTATCTTTGCCTACAATAGTTACTGCTCATATTGTTACTGTTTCCTGTTACATAGTTTTCTTCTCTAACCCTCTTCTAACAAAAACTACCCACATACATGCATGTGCACACGCACCTACAACTGCTCCTTATAATTTTGAAATAAAGTGTGAAATATCTAAGGCCCATGAGAGTGATACCGCTAATTCACTAATTAGTGAATGGCTGTCAAATGTTTAATCATAAACTTCTAATATAATCTTTAAAAAATACATATTTCATGTCAGTTTTCAATTTGTTGCCTCTTACCTCCAAATCCATCTTCCTCACTTGCTCTGCTAATTAAGAGCTGGGCCCTTAATTTTTTTTTTTTCTTTGTTGGCTAGCTTAACTAAGTTGGCCAGTAGAGGGCACAGGATGGAGACCTCTGAGGGAAAAGGTCTTCCCCTACCGGTTTGCTTATGCCATCCTCCTCAGGACCTCTAGCTTTTCCAGCAACTGAACCTGAAGCACAGACAGGGTCGCTGCTGCCAGCCTCTTGCAGGGTGGGCGGCTTCTCCAGTGACGAGGCTCCCCTGTGTACACAGCTTTTCCCACACCCTTCTCCTTCTGAGTAGAGAGCTTATCTAGCTCCCAGCCTCTACAGAACAGACAGCTCTCCCTTGGGGTCATGATTGCTATTCTTGCTTTATCATAGTCTTTAGATTTTCTTTACTTATTAGCCAATCTTTCATTACCACAATTATCTATTATAGTTCATAATTCTCTCAACTTTCTTGTTCAAAAATAGATTTTCGTCAAAAGCTTAAAGCTGCACAGTTAGATCATTTAATGAATGAAATCCACCATATGAAGTAATTTTCAAAGCCAGTCCTCACTGACAAATCAACCAAATTAAACTTTTTGTCTACAAAAAGAAGTTTTAATTTCTTTCATTTTCTCCATTTGAATGAAAACGTTACTATATGTTCTCAAAGCAACTTTCTCACATAAGTATTCTGGCAGTAAATGGATAAACAGACAATAAATAGACAACAGACAGATCAGGAGGTGGTGGGAATCTTGCCAGAGGCTTGCAAAGATAAAAGAGTACTTCAATATTTTTACAAATACTTTTTTGCTTTGCTTTCTTTCAGAAGTAGTGCATCCCTGAACTGGCATTTTTTCTTGATGTCCTAGAGACTGTACTCCAGAACAATGCATCCATAGTATCTGGGACAGGTGAGAGTTGTGATATATTTTATGAAATGAAAGAAAGGTGGCTGCAATGATGAGATGAGAAAGAAGAAGATGCAGATCACAAGCTCTTTCAGACAACCAGTTTCAGGAACAGAATGCTGTGGAAGTGATGCCTTGAAGACTGGCCGTGCCCTTGATCCCTGAAAAGCCCGTGGACACCCCAGGACACACGTTCTGCAGAATGAGGACAACTACAACAGACCACTGAGCAACTCCATGTCCACTGAAACACAAAGCATAGTCTTCTCCCACCAGACAAAAAAACCCAAAAAACCAACAACAGAGAGGGCAAGAATGAAACAAAGCAAAGGTAGGACAAACACAAGTGAATCATATTCATTAAAAATTAGAGAATAAAAGCTTTCCTTACAAGAATGCGAAACAAAACCACACTAAATGTCACATTAAATATGAAATGTGATCCTCAACTTCACCTTTGTTTAAATAAGTGTTGTGCTTTTTAGGACTTGAGATTCAAAAATCTCTCTTGAGTTTAATCCTTCATTTATTTTGTTTCTTATTTAAAAGAGTCCATTTTCCTTAGATCTAGTATTTTAGCACATCACATGACAGGTAAAGAAATGGAGGATCTTAAACAAAAAGGAAGGAATGTGGCCAATTTTTACCATTTGGGATATTAACAAGTTTAACATGGTTCAACAACTATCTTAAGTGTTATATCAACTGTTATGACACAAGACAAAGGTGCTGAAATATAGAGATGTGTTTTGTGACAATTTGAATGGTCAGTTTTTAATATGAAGAATAAATATATAAGAATTCAGGACAGAGTCTCAACCAATACTAATGTGCAATAAGATGTGTGCCATTTTAAAAAGTTCTAAGCTCTTTAAAAATTTCAAGGAAACTATTACTTCCGGTTATTCCTGGAAAATCTGTAAATGTTAGTGTTTTTTATTAAAAGAGAAACATTTATAGCGAGATATAAAGTTGTTTTACATGCTTCCAGTACTAGATTCGTGTTTATTCATTTCCCCTAAGAAACCTGTAATGCCATTTTAAATAAATGGCATTTACTCTCAAGTAAGATTTCTTTCTTATTATTCCTTCAAATCAGCAACACTATAACAAATACAGGGCTTCTAGGGTTTTCTTCACCTAGGTAAGTATATTTCTAATAAAAATCTTTTTTTAAATAAGACTTATACTTTCCAGACCACACTGTTTAAAAACCTATTTTGGTCAAAAAGTTTATGTGCTACCTGTTTTATGGTAACTGTAGCTTTAAACTAAAGATATTGGATGAATAAAAAACCTGTTATCTTTGTATTACATAAATACATAAATTGCTCGTTTATGTATAAACATCTCTTATGCTTCCCAAATTTCTTTGTTTCTTTTTTTTTTTTTTTTTCTTTTTTGGTGGATCAGGAATTGAACTCAGGCCTTTGCACTTGCCAGACAAGCATTTATTCTACTGAGCCATTTTCCTGGACCCTCATTACTTTCAATACAGGTATTTCTCTTTTCAGAAGTATGAACAGTCTACTGGTTGATATTACTAAAACTTAAAAACATACACATGAAGAATTTCCAATATGCTCCAAAAAATAACTTGACAGAAAAATCAATAAATCTATTAGCATCCCTATAACCATCAAAATTTCTGATAGCTTTGTTAAGCAAAGTAGTTACTGAGATGACCAAGTTAATGCTGGGTATTTTAAAAATCCAAAGAGTACGAAATTATACAGTCTATCACACTAGCAATTTACCATGACAGTTAATATTTTTGTTCTGTGTAAACAAAAACAGAAAAAGATAGAAGAAAATTCAGTATATGAAGATTCCAGGGGAAGCAAGTAGTAACTAGGTTGTTGCCATCTATGATACTACCATACTATAGGCTTTTAACATACTTACTTGAACAGTGGAGTTCCACAAACAACACATTTATATATCCCAGGATCTCTGTGATGAGTGTATTCTCCTTCAAAGGCACTGATAAACAATAAACAAATCATCAAAAAAATTAACCAAAGTAAGCATTATTTTTATAAAATATACTTGTTTAAAAATCACTTTTCTACTAAATCTTTTAAAGATTTTTTATCCTAAAATGAGAACAAAACAGATATATGGAAATCTGAACAATACCAATGTATTTCAAATCTATATAATAAAAGGTGCCTATAAGTACTTTAAGCTAGTGCAGGTTAAATATTTTAAAAAGTCAAGGCTTTTAGTTATGTAATACAAAAATTTTTTTTCTATTTTAAAAAAAGCAAGTAGTTTCATTCACAGAAAAAAACATTACTACTTAAGGTTTCTGCTACTCTTCCGTATCCAAAAGTATATCAGAAAATGCAGAAAGTTCCAAGACTTTAAGTGGAAAGAATTATTTTTTAGTTTGAAAAGGAATATTGCAGCTTTAAGGGAATATTTTTCTAAGTTAACAATCTTAAAGGCTAGGAGGTCATTCAGCTAATACAAATCAGCTGTGCTAGCCCAACAAAAAGTCTATGTGCTCTGCAGCTTGTTTTTATTATCCTTTCACCCTCTTTATGAGGTCCAATTTTTTTATAAACAGCATTTTTAAGAATGACCTAATCTCTGGTTGTTTGTGTGCATTAAATCACTTTACTAGTCATGTACACAACAGGATGAGCAGAAGTCCTTCTGAGCCGAGACTGAAGTCCACCACTAGCTTACTGTACAGTGAAGGTAGCCTTTGTCAGAGATTCAATATTTGGTAAGTTCAGTAAACAGTAGGCACTGTAACAGGAAGAACATGCTGTCTATTAACAAGCATTCCGTGTGTGGTAAAGAGCTCTTTTCAACTCATGAATGAAAACATGAAGTTACATCATTAAGAAATTTGGATCAGTGGTAAGTCATAGCCTTATGCCAAGCTCCACAGCATAAATTAGACAACAAAATCATTGGACCCCGTCAAGTTACTTTTGAGCTGAAATCAGCTGAGAGAGACTTTATTCACTAAAAACAGTCTTGGAAGTGAACAAACTCTTTTTTCAGGACTTAGGGCGAAGTTCCAAGGACCAAAGCCATGTGAGGGCAGTTATTGAAAATTTTTGACATTCCAACCACAAATGAGCCAATAAATACTTTCTCCACATGTGCTTCAAAAAGAAATTGGAGTGGGGTAGAAAGGAACTAAATTATGCTACCTTCTTTTTGCAGCCAAAACGTCTATACTTACAATGGCCACCTTCAAAATTTCAGCATCCTGGCATAGTTCCATGTCCTTCATGGTTTTGCTTACTGTGATGTCTTCCCAAAAAATGTACCTAAATCGCTATTACTTCCACACATTTTGCAGTAAACTAAAAACAGGCCTTAACAAAAAGCCTTGTGACTTGACATAAGATAGTGTTCATTAAATGGAGGAAAGAACAAACAAAATTTGATCTTTACCTAAACAATGCTATTTTTAATCTTTTCAAAGATACTAATTTATAGACTGTAGCAAATCAGGATAAAATTCTTTAATGGGCAAAGATGAGGATTCAAAGGTGGAGGTAGAGAAAAGAAGCTCTTGCTTAATGACTTTTATTATAGCTCACCTTACCTTTCAGTCCCTTTCTCCTGAGTGACATGGTACTGCAGGGGTGTTAGTCGCTTCCTCAGTTCCTGCTGAGAAAAGACCACCTTACAGTTCTTTTTATCCCTACATGACCCTGCAAAAGAGAGGATATGGAAGAAGAAGGCTTTTTAGCTTGAATCCTAAATGACTGCTTTGGCTGGCCGCCACAGCACAGCTTCTACGGTCACTTGTCAATGATCAGACTGGTCCCAAATGCACTAGAAAATCTTACCTGAACTGCAGCTGATTATTTCTCTACATTTAAAATGTTTCTTACAACCCAAGTGACTCCACTGAACAGTGACAGTGTGCTGCAGCCAAAGCTTCCAGCATGCACAACTAAAAGCTTATGGAACATCTACAACCTGGTGGTACATTTTTTGCCTCCTAATACCCGCTACATTTTTACCAAGAACTTAAATGCATAAGACTATTAATAATTATTCACACTGTATATATAAAATGGTGGGCATATTAGTTGAAACATAACTGCTCATTAAGCGATTTTGCAATTCAATGGAATGGCTTGAAACTGTTCTCCTTCAGTTTCCATTAAGGATGATCTAACTCTCCCTCATTTATTCTTCCATGAACTCTAAACACATATTCTCTACAATTAGGAACTGCTTTTCTCTGTGATTCCACCAGACACTTCACTAGGTTCCGTGTTAAATAGGCAGAAAGAAACTTAATAGACTACAGGACAAGGCATTGTAAACTAATGCTGATTCAAAGAATTTCAAAAAAGAGAAAAACAAAGACAAATAAAGTAAACATGATTATATTTAAAGACTTAGATTTTCTTTTCACAAAATATATCTAGAAGGATTTTAATGACTGAGTATAGTAGAATGGTGAAATAATTTTAATGTGACTCTAATAACAATGGTACGTTTTATTTCAAACCACAAGACTACAGTAAAATGGTATTTTATCTTACCTGCACAAATGTCTGAAAAATATAACTCTGGGATAGGACAATCATTACTCACTATGGTAAAACCGCTTTTCTTTGCCATCCATCACACTGGGAAAGAAGTTTGCAGATTGTCCTAAATGTAAAGATTTCTTTCATCTTTTGAAGCTTCTAAGAGAAAGCCTGCTTAGCTTTCTAAATGGTAAATTCAACTTCTTTTGAAATACAAAGAAATAAGATTTAAGAGTTTATATGCTTTTTATTTCTTTTATTTTCAAGATATCTCATGTCATCAAATATGAAATTACTGCAGTTAAACTTGGAAAAAATCAGCTAACCATTTATCTGGACTGTGGGACTGAAGAAAGTATCAGCTTCCAGAATTAGGGCCACCAAGACAGAGTAGCTGATTCTCTACCAGAAAATACAGAGACAGGAAAAGAGCAAATCAGAGCCAAACAGAAAGGTACATCTTGGTGCAGGCCTGCGGGTATCAAACAGCACTTTCACTGACCTTCTATGACATACCCTGGCCCTTCCTGGCCTGGAAGGAACTACAGGACCAGCTGGCTCAGTGTAAATAGCACATGTTCCTTCAGCCCACTCAGTCCCATGTCACACTAGAATTTATCTAAATACCTACTATCTACATTTTTACTATTGTCTAAGGCATAGATGGAAATGTTTCCCTAGGAAATGTCTGTTCTATCAGCATAAGCTTCCCAACATCTTGAATGAAACATGGCTCTTTCTTAAACAGTTGACTGTGCCCAATCTACTACAGACTTCTTGAAATCTACTTTGTTTTGGTTTGTTAGAAATGTTAATTTTTTCAAAAAATTCATTAATTACAAACCTAATGTGACATATGTCATGGTTAAAATCATTCTTTCCAATGGCATAGATAATTAAAATTTGGACAATGAGAACAAAACAATTCTATCCAAAATATTTTTGTTAATATATGTTCATTCATACAAAAAGACCAATTGTGTTCCCAAAGTTGAGAGAACTAAGCTACCCATCTGTATGTCATTTAGTACAAGAGAAGCAACTGCAGGTTTAAATTACATGGTATTGGATTGCAATTTCCTAACATTGGATGCTTTTCTGCTTTTTTACCTTGAGTCATTTACTAAGGAGTGTTCATAAAAAGTAGCTTAAAGCACAGATGGTTGCAAGCAAATTGTTTAGGCAAAGATGTTTCTCTTTTTATTCTCTCTCTCTCTCTCTCTCTCTCTCTCTCTCTCTCTCTCTGTCTCCCCCTCTCTTTCTCTAGTCTCATTTCTCTTCTGAATAAAAAGAATAAAACTGTTGGTCAGTATTGATGAACCATATCAAGTATTTGTACAAAGAAAAAAGGTAAAATTGAAAACATCTGATTGAAGTAAATAATACAAACATAAAAGCTGTACTGGTGAATGAAGGGTATTGAAAAGACTTTATTTCATAGATTAGAAATTACTTTTGATCTAAACATTCTTAAGAACAGATTGTTTTCCACTATGAACCATCTCATTAACTGTGCTACCAGACCCCATCTGAATGGCAAGCTTTGACTGAGCGCTGCGCCACACTTTTGTTAGTCTCGGGCTTATTTGGGAGAGGAATAAAGATTTCATTCCAGCTTTCTTTGTTTGTCTTTCAAGGACCACTAAAGCTGTATTCACACAAATTTTGTAGGAATGTGCCCTATGTCATAGCCTACAAATTATTTGGTTTTGGTGCACTTAAAGGTCATCTTCTAAATTAGCAAAATTTTCTTACATCCTGGCTTTTCAACCTTAAATATAAATATTGTTTCCTAACTGTAAGTGAGGTTTGTTCTCTAAGAAATGGTAGTGATTATTTAAAGTTGTCAAACTTCATACTTTTTTATTCTTTGGTCATACCATGCTCTCAAAATAGTTAATTTTTAAAGAGCACCTAATATAAAAAGGAAGTATAGATACACTAGAAAGAATGACTGTGATTTTATATCAAACAACTCAATAAGAATTTAGATTTTAATAAATGCCTTGCCACACAACTTAATAATAATATATGTCTTAGACAATTGAGAGCTATACTATTACACCAGCCCTCCCAGCAAAACCAAAGCTTGGCATAAACACAGAAAAGCTTCACTTTTGTCTCTGATTTCCCTGCTTCCTATCAGACTCACTTTTCTAAAGTCATATGGTGCCACTGTTAATTTTGAAGACATCATTTCATTTTGAAATTCTAGAGTAATTCACTGGATGGTTTCCCTTTACTATCTTTACTTAGGTACTGTAATTTTCTTATTACACAAGGTAATTTAACATTAGTATTATATGATATCTGTCCAATGACCTCTAAATTGGCTCAGAATTATATTAGGGAAAGATGTTTCCCTTTATTTCAATATGTACTAGTGTATTTTGAAGCACAAGTGAGTGAGTGTGCATGCTCATGCAACAGAAAAATATTCGAGTTAATATTACTGCTTTGATGCTTCTCATAACCCATTCCCTCCAGAATAATTTGGTATACCTCAGATCTATCTTGAACCCTATCCAAAGGTATTTCTATGCTGAAATAGGCCCCAAGTCTCCTTTCATACAGCAGATTGTTCACTGTTGTTTCCTCAAAGCAAAACTGTTTTACAACCTTCATTGGGAAATTACATGTAGAACTAAACTTCATGACCTGAGCCAAGTCAGCTGCTCTACGTGCTGACACCCCTACAGATCTGATGGGAAGATGGCATCAATGAGGACTTCTCAAACACTGAAGAAATGTAGCAGCCAGTTAGCTTTCTGATTATACCAAATTTTAATGTTAAACTGAATTCTAGAAAGTAGACAAGTCAGATATTTGGCATGCTTCAGTATTTTATTAGTAATTATTTTTCTATAATAATTCCCTCAAACCAGGATTTCACTCAAATGGTATATTCAAAAAATGGCAAGGATAGTGGGTGAAGGATAAAATAAAATTAAAATTTGAGTTCTGTTATGTGCTAAGAACATATTTTGGTATATTATTCAAGAATGTAGCTGTCATGCCCATTTTACAGATATATAAAATAAGAATCACAAATATAACATTACTTAAATACACATGTCAACTCAGACACTAAGCTGTTTGACTACAAAGTCCATAATCATGTATTATGCATAATCAGCATTTTGTCAGGAAAAAAAATATGCTATAATTCTTCTTTTCAAATTATGTAATAACTGTCAGTTTTAAAGAGTATCACCAATAACAAGCTAGTAAGTGGGAAAGTAATAATCATTGTAGTACATCCAAGAAAGTAAATACATTTGCCCATTAGCCACTGTCTGCTTCCCCTATATTCATTCCTGTCACTAAGGGTCAGAGACAAAGTTCATGTGAGATTCTCACAAGGTCTATAAAACGTTGAAAGGCTTTTTAACTTCCTGTTAAGAAGTAAATCAGATTTGTTACCTAAATACTTAGAGCACTTTTAAGTCATAAATTTTATATTTCAGTGTGAAAAAAAATCAAAACAAAATAAAACCTGAAGATCCTACAACTTTAACTTTAAATTTAGGATAAGAAAAAAATGAAACTATTAAATTTTGCTACAGCTAATAAATGAATAAGAGAGAAAAACATCTATTGTGGCTTTGAGTTTACTGGGTTAAAGCAATAAAGTTAATGTTGAAATATCTGAGTGTTATGTTTAAAGACAATCTAACATTAAAGCATGCTTTTATTTTCAGTAAAAATTTTAGTTTTCATTAGTTATTAGTTTGTCATATTGGAAAACTGGTTAAACTTCCAATGTTACAACTTCTAGATGAAAATTTAAAATGAATGAGAATGTATAAATCTAATTTATTTCTAAAATAAAATATGCATCATAAATCATTTTTGTGTTTGTCTGCATTATAGTAATTAAATAAAGGCTTTCTTAAAAACTACAAAGTACAAGGGGAAGAAAAATTCCTTACCTATAGGAACATATTTAGTTCCTCTAATTTTTATCTCAGAGTCGAATAGGAAAACTGCTCTTGAGATTAACATGCAATTTAAAATCTCAGGTTTTTTCATGCTTCAGGTTTCCACAAAACTGAGGCTGCAAAACTTGCTTTGAGGATTACTGATCCAAGACTTCTTTTAACTTTTACAATCTATCAAAAATGTTGAGTTTTTAGAGTGTCAGGTAATATGTTAAGTAAAATATA